AGAAATTTTAAAGATTTTTTTAATTATATATTTTTAAAATGTTGATATATTTAAGTTGTTTTTTCAATTTCTTTTAAAAAATTCAGATGTATTAGTTTGTGATTTTATAAAGTTTTCCTAGAGGGGTGTACTCAAATATATTTAAGTTGATTTTATTAGTTTTTCAATTTCTTTACAAATTATTTCATTTTCAATCCAATTCATACTCAAAATCTAACTCAACTTTAACCTAATTTCATTATCTTTAATATTATTCATATAATTAAATAATACAAACCAATCATTCTTACACATCACATCAACTTTAATTCACTATTCATCCACTCACATAATCTTAACTACCTATCATTTCTAATCATTTCCAATCATTTATCTTTTACTTTTACATCAAATCAATTTTAATCATTTTATTTTAAATATTATTTTAATACATTCTTAAAATTCCACTAACAATTAACCATACTATCTTTTTCAAAATTAACTCTAGTTAACTAAAATAATTCATTTTAAATGAAATATTTCATAAACAAGCATGCCCTTAGGATTTCTAAGGATTTTTTAATACTTTAGAAATCCTAGTGTATTCAATTTAAATTTGTTAAGACTTTTAAAAATCCTGGAGTATTCAATTGAGATTTTAAAAAGTCTTACAAAATCATGAGGTATTTAATTTATTTGACATTAGGATTTGTTAAGACTTTCTAAGATTTGGTGGGATTTCTAAAGAAAAAAACCTTATACGAAATCCTACTTCAAATCTCAGCTGCAGACTTAAGATTTCATGGAATTTCTCCAAAATTTGGAAATCTTAACAAATCTCAAATCTTAAAAAGTCTCAAAATGTCACTTAAAATCCCAATTGAATACACCCTCACTATTCACGTTTCAGATTTTAAAAAGTTTTAAGAAGTTGTTTTATTGAACTAAACTTATGCTTTTGTTAATTTTAACTAATTTTTGAATATTAGCAAATAAAATATAACTTTATCTAATTTTTACAACCCGAACCTAAGCCCGTTTGCAGCTATATTTTCATCAGCGTGTCCAAAGGTTTTTATGTGGAAAAAATTTATGGTTGTCATAGTATTTTTTCGCTCACGTAAAAAAAACCGAACAAACACTGGAAATCTCGCTCTTCTTCCCAATAAATCTCAAAATTAACTTTTAAATCCATCTCATCGCTGGCGGCAAACTCAGTCGCCGCCCTCGATATTCCTCTCGTCCGCCACCCCACTTAAGAAAGATTCGGCGGCGCCGTGCCAGCGGTAGTGAGTGGAACTGATCCCTGAGCATCAACGCAGATTTAGCGGCAATGGGTCGTGCGCGATGTCAGTCCCCAATATGTCGGTTGTCAGGTTGTTGTGGTCCTCTAGGAGCTCGAGCGAGGCAAGGAAGCTCGAGGATTTTCAATGGGCCTGGTGGAAAAAGGTTGAGCAGATCGACTACAAAGGAGGCGGGAAAATGTTGAGCAGGTCGTGGTGTGCGGTGGCGGAGGCGACGATGAAGTGGCCATTTTGGGAGCAGTCGGAGCTGAAGCCGCTCATTTTCTGCACGATCTGTTGGATCTCAGAGATGTTGACGACGGTGATGTAGCAGTGCTCCACCTCCACGAAGATCAGGCGTTGAAGCTCCATTTCCATGGCGAGATGTCGGCGACCACACCGGCCGCTGCCGTAGGTCCGTGCTGGCCGTGAATTGGAAAATTTGGGTTTTGGGATTAGAAACAACCATCTCCGCGATTTTCAATGTGTTTGTACAGTGAATTTGGGGATGATTCGTGTAGTGAATCAAAAATTAGGGTGTGTTCGTGCAGTGAATTTGAGGATTTCAGGGAAGAAGACCGAGATTTTCAATGTGTTTGTTCGGTTTTTCCATGCCAGTGAATAAACTACCATGATGGCCATAATTTTTTTTTCCACGTAGGAGCCTTTGCCGGATAAAAGTATTGTCGCCGATGGGGTTTGGGTTCGGGTTGAAAAAATTAGACAATGTTATACTTTGTTTGCTAATATTCAAAAGTTAAGTTAAAATTGACAAATGTAAGGTTTTAATATAACCGGTAAGTATGCCAATTGTTTATCAATGAAATTTATTTGGACTTTTAAAATGTAATGAAACTTGATAAATAAAATAAACGTACAAAATTCTAACTCAAATCTCATCTACGTACTTAAAATATGTGATTGTCCAACGGTTTCTCAGATACAATTAACGTAACGTGAAATATTTAGTACAAAATTAAAATTTGAATACAACTATAAAATCAAAATGTAAAACTATTTAGCAAAATAAATAATCTTATTGATGTATATTTTATCAAAATAATATTTAGAAAATAAAATCAATTAAATCTTTTTTAGAAAATTATAGCACGGTGAATAGTATCGCATTACAAGTAGCGCAATGTAATTCACATTTTTAAAATAGTACAAAAATATAGCGCATCATTAAATCAAAATTTCTACTAGCATTGTGGTGCATGACTTCAGATTTCTTCAACAAACAACGTACCTAGCCCAAAATGGAGAAGAAAACTCCGGATCCAGCCCAAAGTTAACCAATTAAAACCCCACAAACACTCCAACATGTCTGTAAATTTCATTACTGGTCGATGCAGTTCTACTGAGGCCCACCAGCCTACGAACTATAGGGATGATCTAGACCGTGATTGGCAGCTGCATTCGCCACGCCACCATTTGGAAAACAATGGAATTCGATAGAAGTTTATCGCTCAGGCGCTCACTTCCTACATATACACGCTGACGCTCGAGCTCCAACCATGTCAGCTCATTTTCATTTTTCAGCTTTTGTTCCGGTCAAACTTTTGCTCGTGACTTGGCGGCGAAGTTGATAACACGGTCGGGAACTTGCGCCGATGGTGAAGAAGTATCCGGTGGTGAGTGACGAGTATCGGGCGGCGGTGGAGAAATGCAAGAAGAAGCTCAAAGGGCTTATTGCAGAGAAACACTGCGCTCCGATCATACTGTGATTGGCGTAAGTGTGTGTGTGTGTGTGTTTCTTTATTTATTGGTGTCTCAATGCTCGATACCCAGCTTCTGTGTTTCAGTTTATGAAGCAATTTTAGGCATGTAATATGCGCGCTTGAGTGTGTTAAGCTCGTGTATTTCGATTGTTAGAACCAACAAGGATGCAATAAATCAATAATTTTGTGGATACATCAATCTCTATTATCTGCCGGCTTGATTCTGATTTTTGGCTATTTTTTTGCTTGTAGTCGAGGCAAAACCCTGTTCGTGTATCTGGGGAGAATTTCGTGTCTATGGTCTTTATCGAATAATGTTAAAGGCTCAATGCTAACGTATCACATTTGGGTTGGATTGGATATCGGATTATTCAACTTCTTAGCTGACCTGCAGCCAAATTCGACCCTGCATTTGCATTAAATATTAGAGCGTTAGGATATGTAAACTTCGTTCGGTGTTGGAGCATGTTGGACTATATCTATCATTGTTTGACTGGTGATCTCCAGGGTTCATTATTGGAGCATGTTGAAATGTTTCTATATTTTAGTGGACAAACCAATCTCTGCTTTATTTTGAGTTTTTGCTTATTTTCTGCTTGTAGTCGAGGCCGACTGTTAGTATATCTGGGGATAATTTTGTTTCTATGGTTTTATCGGTTATTGTTCAAGGCTTCAAGCTAGCAGAAACCTTTGGATGGAATTGGATATCCGATTATTCAACCTCTTAGGTGCCCTGCAGACTGCAGTCAATTGAACCCATTATTCATATTTTACAGTTGCCTTAAGTACGAATGTTAGGATATGTAAACTTGGTTTGTTATTGGGGCATGTTGGTCTGTGTCAGTCAAACAGTCTGGTGATCTCCAGGATTCAAATATCGATGATTATTTGCCTTTGTTGTGGTCTTTTAGATGGCACTCAGGTGGGACATATGATTGGAAAACAAAGACTGGAGGGCCGTTTGGGACAATTAGGAACCCAGCTGAGCTTTCACATGAAGCTAACAATGGGCTTGACATTGCTGTTAGGCTGCTGGAGCCATTAAAGGAACAATTCCGTATCCTCAGCTACACAGACTTTTACCAGGTAACATTTTCCTTGCTTGTATTCTTGCGCAGGTTGATTTTGTTTTTCACTCATTTGTTTCTAGACTCAAAGCATCTTGTGCAAAACCAATGCAGCTGGCTGGTGTTGTTGCCGTTGAGGTAACAGGAGGGCCGGAGATTCCTTTCCATCCTGGAAGACAGGTTAGTCAATTTTCATTCTGCCACGATCATTCGATTATTGTTTGTTGCATTTGCTACACCTGCAGCAGATGTTATTTTGTTCTTCTGTATTGTAGGCACGTCATATGATTTCAACTTGAACTTAAAAACCCAATGCAAGAATCGAATATCAAATCAATGTTTTATATGTGTGTGTTTTCTTGATGTTGAATTAGTATTTGAATTACTCTCAACCATATGCGAAAAGTAAGTAATAATCCACAGCTCAACATGTGAATGTCCTATGGACTTTGTTAACTCTAATTCAGCATGTTTATAGTGTGATTCTTAAACGATGACTTGCTTAGAGTTTGTTCATAAGTGCTTTTTTTTTATCATGTGAAGAGGTTTTCTCTCGATCGTGATGAATTATTTATCACAATTATAGCCATACAAAGTTACAGTCTGTATTACCATATCAATAGTATCTATCATTGGAGGTATAAGGCAGATCTTCCAAAATTTCATTGAAAACTCTTATAGGGAGATTTCATCTTGCATGCTTCCTTCCCTTATCAAATGTTTCCTTTGGCAATTGATCTTCTTAATGAGTTGTGCACTCGCCACTTTGGAGACTAAATTTATTCTCAAAATGTGAATGATCACCAACTTGGGTTAGCTTTACTGATGAAATTCATCATCACTCTCGTCTCAGGAAAAAACAGAACTCCCACCTGAAGGCCGCTTACCTGATGCAAAGAAAGGTAGCTTTTATAAATTTTCACGTGTACCAAAGGATTATGAAAACAACAACATTTTGACAAATTGAAGCTATAATCATTCGCCCATCATATCCTCAGGTCCAGACCATTTGAGAGATGTTTTGGGGCATATGGGACTAAGCGACAAAGATATTGTTGCTTTGTTTGGTGGTCATACCCTGGTATGTTATAAAAATGACTTTGAAATTACAATGCCCTCTCATTATAAGCATTTCTTATGAAGAAAAACTTGAAATATGTTACTCATTCACGAATATGTTGTCGGATAAATTTTCAGGGTAGGTGCCATAAGGAAAGATCTGGATTTGAGGGACCGTGGACCCCTAATCCGCTTATATTCGATAACTCTTACTTCAAGTAAGACCTTGTCAATAGTTAGTTAATTCTTTTTACACTCTGCTTGTTTTCAGCATTTTGTTGGAATGCACTTTTAGACCCCCAAAAAAAAAAAGAACGCACTGAGCGACATTTCTGACATTCATAAATACGACACTTATAAACACAGGGAACTTCTTAGTGGGGAGAAAGAAGGTCTCATCCAGCTGCCATCTGACAAAGCTTTATTGGATGATCCTATTTTCCGACCTCTTTTGAGAGATATGCTGCTGTAAGATAATCTAACGAATTTAAGCTTGAATAGTTTTTTTTTTCCTTTTTCTTTTTATTTTCTTTTTGGCAATAAAATAGGAATCAACCAAGAGTTTCTCAAATTTTCTTGCTCCATTAGGATGAAGATGCCTTTTTCCGGGACTATGCGGAAGCCCACTTGAAGCTATCTGAACTTGGGTAAGTAATAATAATCTCTTTTGGGAAGGGTCAACTGTAGAGGGGGTAGAATTAATGGTTTCATGTGGATTCAGAACTGGGCCTATTATGGATTCAAAACGATGCAGACTAATGTATTTTGGTAAACTTATTCTGGTCTTCAAAATAAAAACATAGAGAGTATTTGAACGAGACTTTTTTCCTTTCCACATTTTTCATTGATTTTTTTTTTTTTTTTTNGTTTTTTTTTTTTTTTTACTATAGTTAGATTGATTAGAACCTAAGACAGTACAGTTTTGGGTAACCAACTGTTTCCTCTATGATCTCTTCAAGAGAACCGTGGTTAGCTTGAAGTAAGAGTCAATATGTCAGTTTCTTCTGATTTTAGTATCTTGAGTTCAATAGACACTTTATAATTCGAGCAAACCAAGTCTCCAAATCTTTCAAGTGTGGACTTGTAAGTTGTAACATACCAACTAAAATGTGTCCTCGATATAAGTCTAATATAGATAGATAGTGATCTTTATACGGAGGCCGATAAAATTTGATATTGGACTCTAATGTTAAGTGTTGCTGCAAGAACATGTGAAATATTAAGAACGTGTTTGGATACAAATATATGTGCTCAAGACATTTTTTTTTTTTATTAACTTGAGTTAATTTTGAGAAAAGTGATAAGGTTAGTTGTTAGTGGGATTTTCTGTTTATATTAAAATAATATTTAAAATAAGATAATTAAATTAATTTGATTTGTAAGTAGGAGAGATTATGTGAGGTGATGATTTGTTAAAATTATGTGAGTTGATAAATAATGAATTAAAATTGACGTGATGTATAAGAATGATTTATTGGTATTATTTAATTAGATTGATAATATTGAGGTTAAGATAAAATTGAGTTATATTTTGTGTACAGATTGAGTAAGAATTGAGAAAAATTATAAACAAACACACTAATTATTCCAGCATGCAGAGATCAAGAAATCATGACCGACAATGTGATCAATTTTCCTGGCTAGGATTGATTGTGCCTAATCATATTAACTGTCGGCGGTGAATTTCACCCTAGTCATGTGAATTTCAACCGTTGGATAAACACACACTCACTTGAATGTGGATGATCCCATGGATAAAAACCTGGAGCGAGGCCAGTACCCACGCAGGTAGGGTCGAACTTATAGGCAAATCGCTAAATTTATGTGACGACTTTTGTGTGCTACAGATTTGCAGAAGCCGAGTAAACGGAAATGGAGGATTGGTTTTGATTGGCTGATTTTTCTCTTCTTGTGGTCCATGCAAAGTTGTTGATGGCTTGATTGGCCTCTAGCGTTTTTGGCCGTGTATGTGTTTTTCCTTTTGTCGTTCCTTGCGAGTCTTGGTCGTGCCGTGTATTTAACTCTGGACTATTTTCTTCAATGAATAATATGCATGTTTATAACTAAGTCTGAATGAAATAATCAAAATATAATATATGAATTGTGGTCTTTCAAGTTGCAGGAGTACTTGTTATGCAATAAATTTGATATGATAATAAAGTGAAGTTATAATATAAAGCAGGTGTCTTTTTAATTTTTCTCCTTTTCATGCTAAAGTAGGTTGTAACTTCTAAATATCTATATATATATATATATATATAAAGAGAAGTAACAAAAACATTAAATTATACTATCATGCAATAAATTTTATTATCATGCATTAAATTTATTCTCCCTCCAAAATTTTCAGCATTCAATTTCATTTTTAAGTTATAAAATAACTTGTTTAATTGCCATAAATTATGAGCATAAACCAATCAAGGGAGTTACAAAATTGTACTCAAATTTTAAGTTACACTCACTCTTGAAAATGTCGGGTGTATTAGCATAAATAAAATGGTTGTAACGGCTCTTCCATAACAATTACTTGATCAAAATCAATTTTGAAAATTATTTTCTTAACTCATATTTTTTTTCCATAAATTAAATTATGATATTTTTTATATTATTTTTTTAAAGTATTATTTTCTGTGCAAATGCACAGATTAATTACTAGTACTCAAAAAAATTGGGACGGATAATATATGGAAATAAATGTGCATATACTTCCCCAGCGTTAAATAAATAGAATGGATATTTACCAGTTCACTAGTAGAAACTAGAAACTCAATTATTATTCGATATTACAACGATCAGTCGATCACACTGCAAAAATTTGTATAAGGCGCTCATCAAAATTAATATATAGATTTGACAAAATAGTAAAAAATGGTTCATTTGATAAAATACTGTTAACAAATCATCTATACTAACTTCATTTTTATAATATAATTTTGGGCAAATGGGTGTATAAATATTTTATTGAAGGCCAAATCACTATATTATTCTTGGAAACAGGTTAATTTAGTGGATGGAAAATGAAATTAAGTGATCATAACACTCGACAAAATGCAAGTTTCTTTTTATAATCTGTTAGTATTTATTATCGCTCTAAGAGTCTCTCCAATCCGTCGCTACTTCAGCGTATTTGCGCTAAATTAGCACAAAATCTCCCTCCAACCCTGCATCAGATTCTTGCAGTAGAATAGATACATGAATAGTGTTGCGCACGCTAAATTAGCGCAAAATCTCCCTCCAACCCTATGCCAGATTCTTGCGGTAGAATAGATACATGAATAGTGTTGCGCCACTTCTGACGCAACACTGTAGCTACTAGCTAACGCTACAATTTTTTTCTTTTTTTTTTTGTTTAATGTGTTTTAATATAATATTATTGATAATTTTTGTATAATTTGTATTAGTATATGTATTTTTTATGCTAAATAACTTTGTGCAATGCATTTTTATGTTAAATAACTTTGTGTTTTTTATTTATTGATGTATTATAATTTTATATTGTAATTTTTTAATATTAAATGACACCATATGAATAAAAATTTAACACAATAAAACTAGTACGTTTCATTAAAATCATAAGTTTACAACACACATTTTGTATAATGTGTACTAATAAATGTATTATTATGTTAAATGTAAATGCATTATAAAAAAATGAATAAAAAAATAATATATTTGATATAGAGTAAAATGTAGAGATAAGAGCATCTCCAACCATGAGCATGAATTGGAGGGTATGTGGAAGGTCTTCCATCCACGTGGAATAAGTAGGAGTTCAATACCATAAAAATATCTCCAGTGGTTATATCTATCTTCACGCTATCCATTTATTTTATATTATAAAAAAAACTAACAAATTTGATTATGATTATTTTAGTAGCAGTTACGCATCTTTTGTTGTTTTTAATTAAAAAAAAAAAAAGAAGTTAGTGGAGGAATAATCAAAATCAGCATGTCTAGCAAAAGTTTTAAATGTAGAAGGAGTACTATAATTTATCCCTTCTCTCTCCATCTACGTAATTAGGATTAACATCTAGACATTGAGGGTTGGAGACGTTTTTTATTGAAATTCTTCCACATTTCTATAATTAAAAGCCCATTGGAGATGCTCTAAGGGTTGTAGACGAATATTTCACTTTATTCTAGAGTAGAGTAAAGTCTGCGCTAAATTAGAGATAAGGGATGAAGATGGCCTAAGAGACAAAAAAGCCCTGAGTTGGACGCCGCACACTCCCACTCAATTTTTCTTTTTTTTCTCCTCAATTCATTTTTCTTTTATTTGCTCTATATCTCTATAAGAAACTGTCACAATAATTTAGATTCTTAAAATAATTATAAATACTCAGATTAACATGGGCATGTACAATTTCATGACATAATATACTTAAAGACTAAGGAACCCAAATTCCCACACACATGTAGTAGAGCATAAAAAGCCAAAAATCACACACATTTGAAGTGGCGTTCGTATTCCAATATAAGTCCAATTAACCCAAAAGCAACAAGTAATTAATACCAATAGACTACAGGTGTAATAACTATTATTGATGAATTCAAATTCTTCCATTAAAGGCATAAGCATTATTAATGTGGCGCTTGCACTTATAAAAAGATTACCTTTTATAGTTTGAAAGACGAAAAGTTCTCAATGTTAGAAGTCTAAAAGCTATCATACTCATTGATGAATTTCAACTTAC